GCATTAGAACCTGTGTTTGTGCATATCAAAGATCCCACAAATGCGTTGGCAAAACACATAATCACTTTCCCCTCAGAGAGAGGGAGGGAGAGAGAGAGAGAAGAGAGAGAGAGAGAGAGAGAGAGAGAGAGAGAGAGAGAGAGAGAGAGAGAGAGGAGAGGAAGAGAGTACTTAGATTATCTAATAGCCGCTAGCTATATCGAGAGAGCGATGAGAGTCGCTGCTATATAAGAGGCTCTCCCCATTTTGTATATCTTGGCTCTATTATCCATCTCCTCTCTCTCGCTACTCTCTCTCTCTCTCTGCGCTCTCGCCCGCTCTCTCTCTCTCTCTCTCTCTCTCTCTCTCTCTCTCTCTCCTCTCTCTCTTCTCTCTCTCTCTCTCTCTCTCTCTTTTTTCTTTCTCTCTCTCTCCTCTCTCTCTCTCTCTCTCTCATCTCTCTCTCTCCTTCTCTCTCTCGTCTCCTCTCTCTCTCTCTCTCTCCTCTCTCTACTCTCCTCTCTCTCTCTCTCTTTTCTGCTTGCGTCGCTCTCTCTCTCTCTCTCTCTCTCTCTCCGCGCTCTTCTCTCTCTCCTCTCTCTCTCTTTTCTCTCTTCTCTCTCCTCTCGTCTCTCTCTCTCTCTGTCTTCTGCCCTCGTTTGTTCTCTCTCTGTCTCTCTCTTCTCTCCTTTCTCTCGCTCTCTGCTATCTTCTTTCTCTCTCTCTCCTCTCTCTCTCTCTCATCTCTCTCGTCTCCTCCCGCCTCTCCTGCTCTCTCTCCGCGCGCGCTGGTTCTTTTTTCTCCTGTGGTTTGAAAGTATGGATGGATAAACTGTGCAGACTGATTTGCAAGAAAAGAAAAACAAACAAAAAGGGAAGGGAAGTCTTGGTAGTGAAACTCCCTGAAAACTGTATCAATGTGTAACGTTGATGCAACAACAGTGTGCCTTCTCTATGTAGGGCTGTGGTTTGCTATGGTATGAGAGTGTATTGATGGACTGGGGAGGAGGGGTCCAACTCACCACAACACAAGACCAACATAGTCTAAATAGCTTACTTACATACAACGCCAGCTTCTCCTGCCATGCCTCCTTTCCATACCACGTCAACTATGCTGCTAGGGTGTGAACAAGTGCATCAAATGACAAATGCAAAATAATAAAAGTCTATGCAGGGGTCTTTGCTCCACACAACGCCCAACCCCCTCCGATTTTGGAGCATTGTTGTCTTTGTGCCTTTACTGCTCGCCTGCCTCCTCCTCGCTCTGCACCTGCTGCATTCATCAGAGCAGGGAATGCAGGCAGGGCAGGCTTGGACCTCTAGTACTCCCTCAACTGAGAGTGATGGTATTCAGTCTGCTTGTCCTGATACTTTACCTTGGAAATCAATACATGAGATACTGTTGAAATACATTATAATTGTATGTCATTGATAAAGAATGTATTGTGATCAATGCATACTATACATTTACAGTTGAATATAGGTCTGTGTAGTTGCCTGTGTTACACCCCTTTTACTAAAATCTTGAATTTTACATCATGGGGCAGAAATCCATGTGTGTTAGCATCTTTGTCGCAGATGGTGTAGCCTTTCATGATATACAAGACATTTAAAAAGTTGAGAACTCCTTGGCTTGCCACCATTCTCAACAGTGCATTGGAGCACAAACTTCACGAGAGACGCTGCCCTCCAATAAGGATATAGTTCTGGATGGGTGATTCTCTTTTATTATTGTCATCATCATTTTTTGTCTGTTTTTGTCCCACCACTGGCACACTGGTGCACCACCTGCTCTGGGTCTCTTTCTGCTTGGGCCAGACTGAACAGCTAACAGCTGGCTGCTCTTCTGACACTCTGATTGGATAATCCCTACTGGTCACTTGTGCTTCTCCTGCCTGCCTGTCATTGAACTTTCTCTCTCCCAGTGCCAGGTCTGGGCCTTCTTCACAGGGGCCGTCCTTCATACGCCCTGAGAATGATATGGGCAGCATATGGGGATACGTAAATAATTTAATGAGGTCAAAAGTCTGAGCTCTCCTCTCCTACTCGCTCACCCTGGATTTATCCTGGATCCTATATCAACATCCTCTTCCCTTGAACATTTTTTTTTTTTGCTAAATGTTTACTAAATGTTTTGGAAATAAACTAAACGTTTTGGAAATAAGTTGCATATCCTGTATTCAGAGTTAATTCTACTGAATATACCTTTTATTCAGTTCAGTGGTACACACTTCTATACACACTTCTATTTCAATTTCCTTTTCATCTGAGAACTTGTGCACGCCAAGGCCCATAAAGTTTCCCTATATAACATGTCAGCGAGGTACAGTATGTGTTGAGCCAATGACAATATTAAGTAATGTAACTATAGTAAGACTTGGAGATATTTATGGAAGCAATTGTGGCACCCTGAAGGCAAAATCTGAGTCTATACATAAAACCAGTGATGAATCATCAGAGTTCATATGTTCCAAACACACCACCAATCTGGCCAAAACATATGGCAATATGACACTATTAGGAGTTACTGTAACAGCATGTTGTCATTGGGTGTTTTTTTCCTCCCAAACATTCGACTTGCTCGGATAAGTATTTTTAAATAATGTTTTAAAAGGAAATTGTTATATACTTCAACATGATTGACTGGGGCAACAAATAACAAGTACAACTTCCCTCCTAACGTCATTATCTTTTTTTTGTGGTGCAGAAGGGTATTAGAATGTGTCAAATACATTCCACCTGGAGTGTTCTATTCTCCTTGAAGGTATCTTCTCCTTACCTCTGATCTCTGTGGAAGATTTGCATTCTTAATCGTCCCAACAGTTAACAGTACATGGTTATATTCAATGGCTAATCATTTAAGACCTCCCCTTTTATCTGTGAGATAGCATCGAATGATCAGATGGCATCAGGATCAATATGAAAATTGGAATATGCAAAGCATGTTCTGTGTTTGGCATTGCTCAACCTTTTCCCTTTCATCTAAGCCTTTTGATGTTGCTTTGAATCTGCATATGCAGTGTGAGCTGTTAACAGCTATAAGTATCTTCACACGAAAGTACATTTAGCTGGCGTCCACCTTTAATTTTAATGACTTCATTTGTTTCTTTGTTTTTTCTCTCTCATGGTAATGTGACTGTAATTGAATAATCATTAAGTCTATTGAATGTTATAAAACGTTTGAAAATAATTGTAAAAATAATTAATTATTGTGTGACAGTGCGTAAAAAGTTGAAATCATATGAGGCAAACTTCCAATTTTGGGGGGAATGTGGGTCTTTGACTTTCAGACAACTCCTTTCTGAGTGACAGGTGTAGTTATGTGGTTCTATAATAATAATAATAATAATATGCCATTTAGCAGACGCTTTTATCCAAAGCGACTTACAGTCATGCGTGCATACATTTATTTTATTTTTTTATTTTTTTTGTGTATGGGTGGTCCCGGGGATCGAACCCATTACCTTGGCGTTACAAGCGCCGTGCTCTACCAGCTGAGCTACAGAGGACCTCTAGCACTGCTACAAAAGCATTACAAAAATTAAAACATAAGGCATGGTGTGTTCTGTAATTTGGCTACTTTTATTCGAGCATGGTCATTTCCAAGAGAAATACAAATTAAAAATTCAATAATACTTTTACAAAGACATTTCAGGAAAGATTTTCTTCAGTCATGGTATCATACATTGTATCTTAACAGTCCCTCTTCATTTTTTTAGCAAAAAAAAAAAATATGAAGAAAGTGGAATTTTTTTTGTTAAAAATACAGTGTTTTCACAATATTGTATAAAAGTTCCCAAATTTGGAATTTCCAGTAATTGGAAAATAAAGGAAATAAAACAAAATAATATCGTTGAAAATTCGCAATTCACAATTAATGTTTCAAAACACAATAAATGCTCTCTTTACGTAAAATTTGCCCCAATGATCAATGCCAAGTTCCTTTTTACTAAAATATATCTATATTTTGAAGAACTATAATACTGTACACTACAGTATGAAATAAATAAAATTAGGAAATATAAAATGGGCCACATAAATAAAATGTTATTCAACCTACAAACAAAATGAATGTAATTTTGTTGTTTCAAAAAAATTGTTTGGTGTAATACTGACAAAAGTTAATGAAATAAACCTGAAAATTGCACAAACATATGTAAACTAAGGAACTGCTGCCTAGTGTACTAATACTGACATGGGTGCGTCAAAGAGTAAGGTGAGCTATCTCTTAATACCGAAGCTGGTGAAGAGGTAACATGTGTCACCCTCCTTTCACACAATACAAGGATGGCACTTGCAGAAACACACAGATTAAAATGTTTGCATATAAGGCTTTTTCTTATCAAAAACACCTTACAAAGGCTTTATCCTTCATTGTTCACACGATCCTTCCATCTACTGTACTTGTCAAACCGTTTTCCCTTAATTTCAAGGTCTCTTTAAGACTTCAATATCTTAAAATGAAACAGGTAATATCTGTTAAGTTCCTTCACAGAGAAATTCTGAGGCCTAAAACTGTGTGGCTAGCTGGCCTGACGACAGGGCAAAACTATAGACAACACATTAAGTGAAAGATAAGTAATAAAACTGATGGACTGTAGTGTGGATACCACTGCTTTTTTCAACAGTATAAATATATACATAGGCAATACTTTTTTATTATTTTTGTAGTGATTATAGAAGCGAAGTGCAATTTGTACAAGTCACTAGTTTGTGCTATAAAGACTATGGAACACAGGGTTTTTAGGATGTTAGCACCACACATATTTTTAGGCCTTAATACTGTACAATTTTTAAATGTATTAATTTATTCATTTTTCATTTTTGCATAATGCAGCCTCTTCTTACACAATTCTCCCCCCCCACCGACCCACCCTAAAATTGAACTTCAAATCAATGTCTCCTTGGGCAGACATATACAACCACCACCCATTGAGTCCTTCAATACAAAGCTTCCTAGAAGCTTCAGGCACGTGCATGTACAGCTTCAACACAGCAGCGTTTAAAACCAAGCAGGTAACAATACTGAACAGAAAAGTAAGATGGGAAGCTTTTGAAATGCAGTCATTTTATTACATGCCGTCCTCCATATTGTCCTCGTGATCCGATTTGGTTTCTGTTTTCCCGTCCAACGAACTATCGTCCATCGAGTGCTCTCCGTTCTCCTCCTCATCCCTCAACGTGTCTGGATCTGTGTCCATGCTCTTGTTCTCGCTCTCCTCTTCCTCCTCCTCAAAATCCTCTTCCCTACGTCCTATTTTCACGTACGTTCCTTCAACTTCCTTCTGACGATCTCTCATTCCTCCGTTCATCCCTCCGTCCCTCAGAATGCCCTCGCGGTCCTCCAGGTCGGGGTAGCCCTGAGGAGTCATACCCTGTAAGTAGGCCCGGCTCAATAGTAGCTCTGTGGGTTCTAGGTGGCCCTTCTCCCGGGCCTCTCTCTCGGCCGCCTCCCTCTCCTCAGCCTCCCTCTTGCAGTAAGAGTAACGGTGGTTCATGTGCTGGGAGTAGGAGCCCGAGTGAGAGAAGCGCTTCCCGCACTTGTCACACTGGTACGGTTTCTCGCCCGAGTGCAGTCGTGAATGTTCTATAAGGTGGTGCTTGTGTTTGAATGCCTTCTTGCAGATTTGACACTGGTGTGGCCGTTTACCTGAGGAGACACAAAGGGACAGGAAAGCAGACATGAGTTTCCCATCTCGCTACTTTGTTACTACATTTCACACAATTAAAAACATCAGGAGGCGAACAAACACAAACTGAAAGTACGTTCAGATGATTCGAATGATATGAAGCATCTTGAACTATCATTACAATATCAATGCTAACTTTGTCATAATTTACTTGTTTATTCCAAATGAGAAGATAAACATCTTAAAAAACCACTGGGTCTGCCATGTGTTTACATTATGAAATTCCTTCCTATCGCTAAAGCATGGAGGAACAGAATCACAAACACTTATTTTCGGCTTAAGTGCCACACTGATGGATGTAACATAAATAAACCATCGCAAACTAAACATACAGAAAGCTGTGACAAATAAATAAACAAATAGGAGATGAAAATTGAACAAGAGACTCCTATGGCTACCCTGATCATCTCAGTAGAATAATTATAGTTTCTAGATGCCTCTGTCCCTCAATTATTTCGGGACTCATCTCTACTCTACTCTGCTCACCATGTAAGATGGGATACCCTGAATACAAAAGTGTGAGACGAGAAACTCGAGCCGCCCTACATTGATGGAGTGAAATTTCATTACATCATGCTACCAAATGATCTGGCTAAATAAAAACTCCCCCAGCAGCCAGCAATGGTGGCTGGTCATGGTGTATATCATGGGGTAGGGAGTAGGGGACAGTTCCACCCCTTTTGAATTTACTACACCTCAGCAGATCCGGAAATATAACAGTCTATCTGACACAAATCATAAGACAGAGTTTCTCCTTTGGCATTTCAATCAGCTCGTGACACCACTTGTGACGCCAAGCACAGACACTAACACATCTGGCCAATTCCTAGCCACAAATAGCCCTGGAATGCCTTCGACACCTTCCATAGCTGCCATACTTGCAGCACACCTCCTAATACCACAACCAGATAAACTGCAGGCTACATAAAGCATGCAGTATTCTTCTCTGCTGTGTGCTGCGTATAGTCATGTGTGTAAAGAATGATGCAACCTAGTGAAAGAGGTTCATTGTGAGAAGTGTAAAAAAATAAGTCATCAACACACAAATGTTCAATGGGTTAAACCAATCTATCACTGATTAGAGTGATAGTCAATAAAGGACCGTTTTGGTCAAGTGACACCGTCAGCAGTCTGTCTCTGTCTCTTTATGAGTTATATACGTGGGTCTGGTTAGTGTGTTTTGTAAATCATAATAGGGTTAATAAAGTAGCATGTGATGGATTTAATTAGAAATGGTCAAGGATGACATTTACTTCAGACAGTGCCCTCATGCATTATGCAAAGCAATGACACAACATTTCGTTAGGCACTTTCTACCCCATTTTGATTTAAGTATGGAGCTTATATATTCAGATAAAGGTATTTCTGGCATAACCCTGATAATGTAATGTCTTGCTCTCCATATTTTAGTAAGTATTTCTCCTCACCCCTGTCAATGAAGAAACAAGTTAGGTCTCGATTTACATACAACTGAAAAAGAACAAAGCAAGAAAGAAATGGGGAATAAACAAAATAGAACAATTGAAAGGGTTTAGTAACACAAAACATTACAAATAAAAGCAATGGGGTAAAATAAGTGTTCTAGAACAGTATATACCTGTGTGTTCATATTTGTGTCTTAGGAGGGAACTGCTCTTCTGGAATGTTTTGTCGCACAAGTCACACGCGTACATACCACTTTCTGTCTTCTTAATCTTCTTCCGGGACAGACAGGAGTCTGAATCGGTCATGTCATCCAGTCCTGACATATAATCTGCTGTTCCGTCTAGCAGCTCCCCCTAGAAAATAACACATTTATCAATCCACACATGTCAACTAAATATAGGTACAG